TTCCTGTTCTCCCCCGGCACTCCGACTGGCTGGATGCCACATGCTCTGCCTCCTGCAAGAAGAAACAGCAAAAGTAGAGTGAGCTGCCAGCAACCATCAGTTTGACAGCATTCTTTGGCTTGTGGGTGTGTCTCAGGGAAGGGGAGCAGAGATACATAAACTACTGATTGTCGTGGAGGGAGGGGGCCAATGAGTGACCTGAAAATTTAAAAGCCTCTTGCTATTACTTGCTGCAAAATACCAGAATAAAGAAAAAAAGAAAACTAATAAAAAACCTAATTTTCAAAAGATATGATATAGCCATACCATAAAAAGTTTGCAGACATTAAAAATGATGTCATAGAAGCATATTGCATGAATAGATCTGAAAACATAATTTCTAGAATAATATTTATAGTATAGGCTTATTTTTGAAAAAACATATGTATGAATGTTCACACATGCGTGTGCGTGCACACATACACACGCAGACACACACACAGATTGGGATAAGATGAACCAAAATATTAACAGTAACAAACTCCGAGATGGCATTTCCTTTTTATTTCTTTTTGGGATTCATCTATATTTTCTACAATAAACATACATTACTTCTATAATAAGAAATTTAAGTTAATCTGAAAACTAAGGAACAAATCATTCTTAAAAATTCCAAATCTCTCTTTTACTCCCTGACCCTACACACACATGTGCATGCTCACACCATTACCATTAGCTATGTTGCATCCAGAGAAATAACCACATTGGTCATTCCATGATGCAATCTACTCGTTAATTTAGAAAAACTCCAGAACACTAAACTCTCTAGAGAATATCATAAACACACCCAAGCTAAAATGAATTTGGATTCAATACAAGGACACACACACCAAAAATGATAAATTTATATATGTTCAGTAGTTGAACCCCTATAGTCTTTGAGCAATGCCAAACCTCTGACAAATTTCTCTTAAGATAAAACCATCCCTCTTTACTTGATAAATGAAACACTAAAATCAAACTCAGTGAGAAATTCAGTAAATCCAGATGGCTAGTCATGCAGTCCAAATATTCAAGTGATAGTGAATTTGGGTCTGATTGTGCAGTATATTGTGGTGGCAATGTAGACCAAGCTCCTCTATTACAGGTGTGGGATGAAGTCAGTATGAGTACCAATATCTCAGAAGTCATTTTCCAAAATATTAGAATAATTCGGTGGGGCTATTTGTTAAATAGTCATGGCAAGCTTCTAAACAAAATCATACGAATGCCTTCCTATATGAGGGCTAAAATGGGGACGGGGAGCAAAATTGAGAAAAAGCAATGAGTTAGGCCTACCAAGATCTTCTCTTCAATTCCATTTTTTCTAAACCTCTGGCTTCACACAAGAAGACACTCCACATAAAAAGGTTCCATTAGTGGACACTAGTTCCCGAGACTTAGTACTGCTTTGAAAAATTCTACAGCTACCCAAATACTGGCTGAGTTTCCTCCAACAATGGCTTTCAGGTGAGATAGCTCTGCTTGCTACTTGCTAAGTAGACTTCAGTTTCCTTGTCTGTAAAATAGGAATAAAACTCCAGGCTCACAAGGTTGTTGAACAAGAGCTCATTAGAACCCCTTTCAGTGCAGGCAGACTGCAGGCACACAATAGATAGGGACCACTGATGATGTTAATATCCCTTTTTATAAAAATGCCTTTAAAGCTCAATATTCTGAAACTAATGTTAAAGAAGAGTTCAGCAAAAGCAAAACTTTTCTGTGGTAGAATGCTTATTTCAGGCATTGAATACAAATAATGATATTATTTTAAACATCATATTTGAAGCCTCAGTATTCGTAGGCCTAAAGAAATGACCTTTCTAATCTCTAAAATGCTAAAACCAGAAATTTCCATTTTATTAAAACTTTAGCTTTTTAGGAAAGAGTAGTTTTTTGTTTTTAATTTTCAAAGATGATTTTTTTTTTTTATTGAATCCTTTGAGCCTACAGTGGGTAGAGAAGGGTTAAAGGCCATGAACTGCTGGACTCCTATGGATTTTACTCTTTATTTTAAAGATGAATAAGAGAGGCTGAAAGTGCTGCCTTAATCTGCTCAAGTCAGATATCTCAAGGCATTGCAAGGAGAGAACATTTCTCTGGTATGGGTGGATAAGGAGTATTTGGGGACAGCTAATAATCAAGCCCTTGATTCAAATGGAGAGGGGAAAATGGCACTTCTGCCCACTAAGAATTTAAAACTTCAAGATGGTGTGGAGAGTTGGGGAAGAGCAAAGATTTGGTATAAGTTATACTGAATACTAACCAACAGAGCAGACCCTGACGCAAAATATAGGCTTAATTGCAATGACAGATGCTGCTCCTTCCAATGACAAAATGTTAGATCACGCTGCAAAGTGCTAATCTCTAAGTCCAGCCTCTCTCAGAAAATGCCAAATGGGTTTTTCATTCCAAATCACCTGTGAGTTTGGAAGTTTTTTTATTCATAAGAAAATAATAAATATTTTCAGTTTACCCCCTTCCTCTCCATTTATCTCTTCATGGAATAGTTCTAAATGAATAAGTCCCAGCGAAGCCCACGTGGGAATCAATGAGCCTTCAGATGATTCTAACTTGGATGCTACACATTTTCCAACAAAGTCCCTAGACGTCATGGAGCAGAGACAAGACATCCTTATTGTGCCCTAAGTGAATTCCTGATCCACAGAAACCATGAAAGGTAATAAATGATTATTGCTATTTTAAGCTTTAGGGTTATGTGTCACATAGTTATCAATAACTGAAATACTACTACCTTTCCACTATTCTAAGATACCATCAATTATAAGATCTACCATTAGTTTAATTAATAGCTCTTTAGGAAAAAAAATAATATTAATGCCACATTATATGTATCCATTAATTTTAAGGTGCACTCAGATACAAGAAAGATGAAAGTGTGAAAAGATGTGTGTTGGCATCAAGGAATGGCACAGCATGCCCAGTAAAGCATGGTTCTGTGAGTGACAGAAAAGAAGTCTTGTCGGGAGGACACACCAGTAAAAGCAACTTCAAGAGTCTAATCTGGAAGCCTTGATAATCTCATAAGAAACAGGGGAGGAAACCACAATCCTTACTCGCTCCAGTTTCTAAAAATAATTTCATGCTTTCCCTCAAAGGAAGAAGACAAACTAAGGGGATACCATTCTTATTGAATTAACACAACAGTAGTTTTCAAAGGTATCGTGCTGCCAGTGTCATTTGTTCATAAGGACATAAAGGGAAAAAAATACAAAATAAGAACAATAATACTTCATAATATTTATCTGGTTTCATAACAGAGATTTTAGCCACACACGAGAATGCAGGGCTCAGCCACTTGGTGAGCTCACATCTCTATTTCCAGTTGGATTCCACCCCCTGGCTAGTTACAAGGTTAACTAGGACTGCCAAAGAAAGTTCTTATAATACATAATGTACTTATGGATGATTGAGAGTTTACGTATTCTCCCCATCGCCTTCCCCTCCCCGCTCCCCCCTCTGCCCCACCCCCCTGTCTCACCAAGGTGACGACATCTGGACAAGAAGAAAATATTTGATTACCTTTGCCCATTTAAGCTTCATTACATCTTTTTTCGGAATCTGCTGAAACACGCAGCTCAAAAATTCTAGAACATTAAAGCAGAGTGTTTATCTTGAAATAATTAAGATAAAATTTTACTTAAAAAGAAACCACCTACTACATACCAAGGATGTTGATAGTTTAAGAGGTTACATAAAAGTCAGTAAGATATCCCTACCCCAAAGAAATTTTAAAATCTACCGTTTGACAAAGATTAAAGTGTAAGAGGGCTGACTCTTTCTTACTTACTTTTGTGTTAGTGCATTTATCAAACATCCAAGTTGACCGAGGGAAACGAGAGAAGGGGAAGCCAAGACTCTCTCCTCCAGACTTGTCTTCTTGCCACCAGACCAAGAAGGGTCACTCTACATATTTTCCTGCTCCCAGCCATCTTCCTCTACCCTTTGAACTCACCTCCCATATGTTTCAAGTCCAGCCTCAGTGCAGTGATTTGTTGGTTCTCTGCTATATGCAAAAAACAATCAAGTTGACTAAATTCTGAGATATTTCATAAGAAAGCTGTCCATAAAACAAATGTTATTTAGGTTATTTTCTGACTGATGAGCAGAGGCTAGGATAGTATACATGATGACAGGAGAGAAGTTATCTGTTATGTTGAGAGGCTCGAAACTCCTGAATTAAGGAAAAATCAGCTGCCCTTAAGTGGAAATGGTAAAATATATTTTGTCCTTGGAATTTTAGTGAATTCAGCTAACTTAGAACTTGAAAGAATCTGGTTTTGATATGACAGCGTGGCCACTACCTTCAGGCCTTTCCAAGTTCCCCAGTTTGTACAGATGTGTGACCCAGAAGAAAGAAAAGAATTTTCCACCCTAATTCCAGTCCTTGCCCATCTGCCTTAACTTGCCCAAATCATGTTATCCTTGGGCTTCAAAGACATATGTATCCTTTAAGTCCTTCTTCCAAGATGTGGTCAACCAAAACAACTTTTTTCATCTTACCTTGAGGTTTTAAATTTTATTTCAAAATTGATGAAAATTAATTATCTTCAACTGCTTACTTAAAATTTTAATTAAATGGTTTTATAAATAATCACTGCATTGCTAATAACAATGCTTTGTATTTATGACAGCATGTTCTTCCCAAGAGCTCAAATTACTACATGATTAATACATCTGCTTTCTCCATAGTTCAGAAAAGCCCATATATATATATATATATATTCAGCTCTTAGAATGAACAAGGGAAAGTGTTATAAACCTACCCTATCTTGTACCGCCCTAGAGTTCCTTTTACCTTAAACCTGTGCACGTCTGTAAAAGCAACTTAAATTCCTTTTGAATTTGGGAATTTTAAAGACTTTAACCCCTGATTAAAAGAACTATTGGACTATCAAATTCATTTAGTTATTGGAAGAAAGGAGGCCCTGAAAAAAGCTGATTTAAATTCCCTCTAAAATTTGTGTGTCTGATTATTACAGGCATACCTTGGCAACATTGTGGGTTCAGTTC